CCGATTGTTCATTTTCGAGCATTTTTTTCCCATACCTATCTTTGTAATTCTTTTTTGGCCAAAGTTTGCCAGCATTTTTTGCCAATAAAAGACATTCTACTTCATTTTTTATGTGTCGCTTCTGTTGACTATTTTCTAACCATTCTTATTCTTTTCTCGTTAATACCTTGCAATGAAAGAAATGTGTGAATGCATTCTTACTTTTTGAGTTTGAAATAATGATTGATAAATAAATAATAGCATGAAAGATTTCTACATTATATTAGAGAAGTCGAGAGTGATAAAGGTAAATTTGAGATGTCCAGTTTCTAATAAGGACATTGAATTTGAAAAAAGATTTTTTACAGAAAGAATGTGAGAATTAAATGAAAGAGATGATTGAGAGTTACACTGACTTGATCTTTGAAGAACAACGTAACTTGGTCTTTGAAGAATAAAAGGTTTGAGGCCCAAGAAAAGAGCTTGAGAAACTTGAGTACCACAACTGAATGGGAATTAATTAGCCAGCATTTGCATAGCATGCATTGAATTTTGCATGCATTGCATTTTTTTTTTTAACATCTAATGCATAGCATACATTGCATTTAGAAAGGTCTAGTGCATGGATATTACCAAATCCCACATAGAGAAGACAGATGTGAGGACTTTTTGATGTTAAAGTTTTAAATTTGAGAAAAAGTTTGTGAGGTAAGATTCTAATCCTTGAAAAAAGATATTTCTCGATATCAGGATCGATTTGTAAGACCCTTGGGTATAATCTCCTGAAATTCCTTCAAACATAATTTTTGACTTTTCTAGACATGATTGTCAATAAGCCTCATTTATTTTTTTAAAGTTCTGTTACCTCTATTTAGAGGAGCCATTTATTTTCTCAAAGTTCTGTTGCCTCTATTTAGAGGAGCTTTTTTTTATTTTTCAAAGTTATTGAGCCTCTGTTTAGAGGAGCTTTGTTTATTTTTTCAAAGTCGTTGAGCCTCTATTTATAGAAGCTTTTTTTATTTTTCAAAGTTGTTGAGCTTCTGTTTAGAGGAGTTTTGTTTATTTTTCTAAAGTCGTTGTGCCTCTGTTTAGATGAGCCTTTTATTTTTTAAAGTTATTGAGTCTCTGTTTAAAGGAGCTTTGTTTATTTTTCAAAGTTGTTGTGCCTCTGTTTAAAGGAGTATTTTATGTTCAAAAGTCGTTAAGCCTTTAATTAGAGGAGCTTCATTTTATTTTTCAAAGTTGTTGTGCCTTTATTTAGAGGAGCTTTTATTTTCAAAAGTCGTTGAGCCTCTGATTAAAGGAGCTTCATTTTATTTTCAAAAGTCGTTGAGCCTCTATTTAGAAGAGCCTTTTATTTTTCTAAGTTGTTAAACCTCTGCTTAGGGAAGCCTTTATTTTTTCAAAAGTTGTCAGCCTCTACATAGAAGAGCTCTATGCCATTCAGCAAGTTTGAGTGTCTGATTAAAAAAACAAAAAAAAAAACATGTCGAGCTGATTATCTAGATATGAGGGGTGTTTACATCTTTGCATAATTTTTGTTACACAGAAACTGCGTAAAGAGAGGCAGCTGTAGACACCCTATTTTATCTGAGATTCTTTGTCAATTGAGACCAATCCAAGCTCGATTATAGGAATTTTTATTCATTTTTATTTCATATTTTTATTTTGTATTTATCATTGTTTTTTATTTTTATTTTATGGTCTATCTATTTTCTTTCTTTCTTTCTCTTCATTATATGATTAATTAATAAAAAAAGAGAAAAAAAGTTAAAAGATCGAGATTAGACTTGGTGATTGTGATGATTATTATCTAAATGTTAATATTTAGATTTGGATGCTAATAAGAATTGAACTGAAACTTTATCAACATAATTTTATAAATCATGGTGATTCATTGGCAATAGGGGATGAGGGATCAGGGAAAACAAACAAAGAAACAGATTACATAAAAAAACCATAACCTTCACCCCACTGCAGCTCAATCATCAACCATTACCATCAATCATTGCCATCAACCACCATTGTAACCGATAATAGAAGGTCTTGATAGCTCATCCTCCACCACAACAAATACCATTCTGTTCCACACCATTAATACCATACTGTCACCTCTGCTTAAGCATCTAACCAAGTCCTACTAGCCATGAATCCCAGTTACCAACCATGAATTCCAGCCTTAGATAGTGACTGCAAATCACCTAGCCACTCACATGCTTCCATTGCCACAATCATCAACACCAACTGACATAATCGATTCCTTCCAGAGGCAGAAGCGGTTAAAGGTACATCAATTTCAAAAATAGAAAGCAATAAACCCAAAATAGAACCAACATGATTCAGCAATCAAAAGAAACAGACATAAAAACTTAAAAAAAGATAGAAATCAGAGAATAGCTACAATGCTGGTCGATTTGACATTTTGAGACTAAGTTCAACAAGAGGAACATTAATCTTGAAACAGCCTGATCTTATGTTATCTGCATCAGTTTTAGAAGATTTTCAAACTTTTTATTACCCTCAAACACTTGATCACTTCAACTACAAGCCTGAAAGCTATTCCACTTTTCAACAAAGATATGTGATGAACTTCAAGTATTGGGGTGGAGCCAATGCTAATGCACCAATTCTAGCCTATCTTGGAGCTAAAGAGCCTTTAGACGGTGATCTTGCTGTTATTGGTTTCCTCAATGACAATGCCATCCGCTTTAATGCTCTCTTTATATACATTGAGCATCGATACTATGGAAAATCAATACCATTCGGATTAAGGGAATAAACCTTCAAAAATGCAAGCACTCTTGGCTATTTCAACTATGTCCAAGCCATAGCAGACTATGCAGAAATCATCATGCATATCAAGAAGAAACTTCATGCTTTCTATTATCCGATCATCATAATCCGAGGATCATATGAGGGAATTCTGGCTTCATGGTTTCGACTGAAGTACCCTCATGTTGTTTTGGGAGCTGTGGCCTCATTAGCTCCAGTTCTTTACTTTGATAAAATTACACCAAGCGGTGCTTACTTTTCAGTCATCATTAAGGATTTTAGGGAAGTGAATGAGACCTGCTACCAAACCATACAAAAATCATGGTCTAAAATCAATAAAATTGCTTCTCAACCCTATGGTCTTTCAATCCTCAGCACGAAATTCAAAACTTGCGATCCATTAACCAATTCTTCAGAGCTTAAAAACGCGGTGACGAACATGTATGCTTCAACAGCTCAATATAATCAACCCCTGAGGTATCCAGTAATCTTGATATGCAGAGGCATTGATGGAAGTGAAAAACTAGATATTCTCAGCAAGATTTTTGTTGGCATTGTTGCTTATAGAGGGAATCGTTCTTTCTATATTAATCAACCAACCAACCAATCCGAAACAACTATAGGGTGAAGATGGCAGACATGTAGTGAAATGGTGATACCCATTGGTATCGGCAACAACACCATATTCCAACCTGATCCCTTCGACCTAAACAGCTTTATACAACAGTGCATGAGTTACTACGACGTTTCTTCGTGGCCTCATTGGGTCACTTCCTATTACGGTGGCCATGATATAAAATTGATTCTCTAGAGGTTTGGTAGCAACATCATCTTTTCAAATGGGCTGGAAGATCCTTATAGTCGAGGCGGGGTTTTGGAAAATATTTCAAAAAGCATTCTTGCCTTATATACAGTTAATGGATCTCATTGCTTAGATATACTTCCAGAAAAGGAAACCGATTCGGAATGATTGATCAGGCAATAAAATATAGTGGTGAAGATTATCAAAGGATGGTTGGCTAATTGAGCTGTTGAATCGAGCCACGTACCAAGCCAACCAGCCGATTTTATCTCTAGAGCCACGCCAAAAGTTTTTTTTTCTTTTTCATTTAGTTTTATTATTTATTTATTGATTTAATTAAACATCATTTAATTTTCAATGATCTCTTTAAAATAAAAATTTTTAAAAAATATTTTTGAAGGAAAGTTAAATGTATCAATTTCTTTTGAACATAAAAATTTTTTAAAAAATATTTTTTGATAGAAAGTTGAAAGTATCAATTTCTCTTGAAAATAAAAATTTTCAAAAAATATTTTTAAGGAAAAGTTGAAAGTACCAATTTTCCTTAAAAATCAAATTTGAAAAAAAAATTTAAGGAAAAATTGAAAGTATTAATTTTTTTTGAAAATAAAAACTTAAAATGCTTTAAGGAAAAACTGAAAGTATCAATTTTTCTTGTATAAAAGCATGAGTTCCTTTGGTCCTTTTTTTTTCTTAGAAAATTTTTAATGTTAAATCATCCGACAATGAAGCATCTGTAAGTGAAACAGTAATTTTTTTGTATACTCTTAAGGTGAGCGGATTTTTCTTAATTTTTTGTCAAAAGTATTGGAGTTAATTAAGAATAATTTCTAATAATTAATTACTTGATAAAATTTTTAAGGCTTTTCGGATAACACGAAATTGAGCTGATACTATCTTTTGATGGGCGTTGTGAGGGTGCTATAACTTTTCTCACTTGTAATCGAATTCTCGAATCCTGTTCTGGTTAATAGACCTGAATTTATTCTTTTAGAAACCCTTAAGCTTAGGTGTTCTTTGAAATGATAAATTTTTACGTGACCAATCACATCTAAACAAAAAAAATTGATGACGACTTCTTAAATCAATGTCTAACAATAAATTCTCAAATCTATTTGTTATGACAAACATATCAAAAGAACTTGAGAGATGACGATCGCTACATCTAATAAAAGTAGTGAACACACTTTATATGAAACATAAGAGCACGTTCATGAAAGGTTAGTGCCCTGCTTTGCATTAACTCTAGTCCTGGAATGGTGGAATCACCCAAAACATTAAGTCATTTCTTTTTTTTCTTCTTCATTTTTTGATAGTAAATACCAAGTATTCATTAAATTTCCAAAATGTAGGGCAGTGGCGTTTAATGCGATGAAATTGAAACGCTCAATGTATCCACTTCCATATCATTACTTCACTTCTTGACCAAGACCTAAAACATCTGGCATGTGGGCGCAAGTCGCAACTATGGTTTTGCTCCCACCTACCATTATAACTTAGCGTTATCCTTAACCCCGTCCCTGCAAAAAAATTATACTCTTAGTAAGATCAATTGGTAGCCAAGGGAAAACCAAAAATGCGCATCCGGGGAATCGAACCCCGGTCAGTACCGTGGGAGGGTACTATGATACCACTACACCAAATGCGCTCGTTTGCTTGTAGCGCATTGTCTATTTTTTACTAAACATAATGGAAAAGTTTGTTGTTGGAAGCTTCAAATGATTGAGGTTAACATGCGAGTTGTCTCCGATTCTTCAGAAACTAACTTTGTCAAGCAATAGCTCATATATAGACCAATAGGTTTCAAGCAATGGAGAACAATACTTTCTAATGAACAGTGTTTGGTTCACCAATTGTCAATAGTTGCAAATACGTACGAAACGGTGAAGATTTATCAGACATACATGATTTATTTGTTCATTAACCTTTTAACAAAATCAACAAGATAGAAAGAAACACAAATAAGAGAATAAGCTGCATGCAGTCATCGACAACCCAAATCAACTCTTCCTTCAGCACTGATAGTTGTATTTGTACATAGCTTCTGAAGATCAATGTAACCGATAATGGTATCTTCAAAAACTGCATCTTCCAACTGAGCATTATCAAAAGTGGAACCAGATAACACAGTGTTCTTAAACACAGCACCTTGGAGATTGGCTTTTTGAAAATTAACTCGATCTAAAACAGCATTTGAGAAGTTTGTACCTGCAAATTTATTTGGTCATTTTTATTCTTTATAAATCTATGCCATGATTTTCATATGCTCGCTAAGACTAGCAAATGAAAGTTTGGCGATCAGTTTTTGCAAATCCGTCATCATTTATTGACGAGTTTCATGAAGCAAAGCACTATATCTTTATAGTTCTTTAAAAAAAAATGACAGTTGCTTGTGGTGGATTTGTAATTTAGAACTCAAGGAAGCTATTGAGGTAAGGATTTTGAGACATGCAAATGTACTGAGTGAAAAGCGACAATGATTTTAGAAAGGTCCCTTATTTCGTTATTGGTTCTATCAGTAGTCCAGTGTATACAGAATTATGGACAGTGACATTCTAGGCTCAGAAAAACTAGAAAATCCTGATGTTTTCTCACATTTAAATGTTATTTAATCTAGACCATCTTCCTGATCATGACCACAATCTTGGAGATATGTTGTAGTTATAGCAATCAAAATAGGGAGTCATTTTATTTTTTGCATTGTTTCTTGTCAAATAGTGGTTCTCAATGCATAGTAGTTTTCCCAGGGACTTCAGTTTTGTCATGGTTCAATTGCAGGATGTGCTCAAAACTATCATAGAGAGAACTAAACAATCATTCTTCTCTAAAGGCCTAAAATCAGAACCAATTAACCAAATAATTGTTGATAATTTGCACAAGTATTCTCCTAAGACAGAAATTAGCGTTGTTCAAAGATTTTGATCAGTAGTGAGGTGGATGATTTTACAATACGTAAACAGAAGGAAGATACAGAAGATCACCCTTGAAGCTAGCTCCCACAGCATAAGCCTTTGACATCACGGCTTCTGACATGTCTGCACCATCAAACTTAGCACCAGACATAAGTGCTGCTGCAAGAGACTTTCCCTTCAGGTTGGATTTATCATTAGTGTAATCACAGAAGCGTAGATCAAGCGGCTTATCATATACACCATTTGCCTGACCTATTGTATTACCAACAAATGCACGCTCACATCGGTTGGCTTCTGTTGACAGTGGAGGAAGCCTCTGCAAAACAAACGTATTATATTTTTGTAGCCTTTAGTTATCTTGAAACAAGTAATTACTATGATCAACAACATTGTTGTTTGGAATCACCAGAGTATATGGGAACATTTATTCCCCACAGTCATCTACCAAGCAAGCCAGTTTGTACAGGATAAAGGACCAACCGCAACTTATACAGTTTGATAGTAATAATTAATTATGCAAATTTGCATATGAATTTCATTATTTCTTCTTCCTGGCCAAGATACAGGCAAGTTATGAATGCATCAAGTACATCAGCTGATCAACAAATGGTTAACTAGAATGAGAGTGGAACTAATGGAAGTAAACAAGAGTTCAACAATTCAGTGTGTCCTCAGCAATTCTTAACCCACAAGCTGTAAACCTAAGCCAAACAAGTCATAAGTAAATACGCTTAAACAGACAAAGGAAAATAGCGCAGGTTTTCAACCTGATTTGCAGCAATTACAGGTGAGGCAGTAGCAAAAGCGTATACAGCGAGAAGGCCACAAGCTACAGTCCTCAGTTCCTTAAAGGGAGATGAGCTTTCCTTGGAAACACATTTGCTAGCTGCTTCCATGAGAGAAAAAATGAAAAATACACTAATAAGCTTCAGTAACTTAAAGAAATACTAGCTACAACAAGGCTCCCCCTTGAGTTTCAGACAATAACTCAACAATATGATCCCAAACTTGAGTGGAACTGAAGACATCACCAAAAATTGAGATTACCCATATAATGGGAATCACTTCGTTTTCTTTTGTTTAACCACCATTAATTTCCTACCTCGAACCATATTCCAACATTCAAAAAAGGACAAAAAAAAAAAAGAATTTGGAAGCTTTAAGAAGAATAAGGCATACCAGAAGAACAGCTGATTCTGATAGGTAAAGGGAGTTGATGAAGAGGACAACCATGGCGTTTCGTTAATAATTGTCGTAAGGCTAAAGTGTTATGGGAGAGTGGAGTTGAAATGGTCGCCATTTTTGTGTGTATACTTTCTCTTAATCTCACTGTCAGTTGAAGTAGTCCATTGCGAGTTTATCCACCGATGATGGTTCTAGCTGCAGCAGGTACATACATATATCTGACCTGGCATGACACGTAGGATATCGTGTCCTTGACCAAATTAGTCAGCGTTCCGTTCAGTAAATATCGTAAAATCTTTAAAGGGCAAAAGTACAAAAAGCAGATAAACATAGGAGGCAAATTCGTGTCGTTTACCAGCTTTGTGCCTTTGACCATCGCTTCCTCCTCAAGTTTAGGGCTTTGAATTTTAAAGAACCCACTTTTTTTTTAAATAAAATTTTCGCTGTATCAAGATCGATAAAAGGAAGAGCCAATCAAAACAATCTGCACCCCAAATCAATCAGATAATTCTGACAAGAAAAAAAAATGGAAAATAATCAGGGCAGCTGTTTGTCGTGGTTGGGAACAAGCGTGGCCCAAGCCTTCTTCGCATCGCTCGAACGTTGTTCTTGTATAAACCTCTCCACCTCCGACGATGCTGATGATTCCGAGGCCCACGATCGCCCTCTTATGTTCACCAATTGCTCCTCCATCTCATCATCTGTTATCTCTAGGGCCGACAACCCTCCTCCCAAGGACGTCGTTAATCTCCCCGTCTAAATCTTGCATGCCTCCACCTCTGCTCGGATGGCCGCCCTCTTTCTGGAAATTGTTTCTTGGGTTTGGATGTTATCTGTCTTTCTTTCTTGTTTTTTCATGTGAATTATAATATGAGCTCTTTCTGGTTTTTCGTTTTCTTTCTTTGGGTTTGTTCAACTGCGTTTTCTTATTTATGGGTCTATGTGAAATTTCATCATCTGAGGAATTTGAATCTCTGTTATATTATGTAGTTTTTTCTTTGGAATTTATTTATGAAAATCTTATTGCAAAACTGATAAATAATTTTATCATGAATCTGGAGATTAATTTTGAACTTTCTTCGTCAATGTCATCAAGCTTTTCCCTTGTTATTTTAGTCAGCTCCATTATTAACAATTTCTCTTCCAATAAGCTAAATCCATTGCCTTACAATTTGTGAACAATCATGAGTTATCTCTGTCTGAAACCAACCACCAATTATGAATCCAACAGAAATTTTCATTGAAAATGCAACGAATTGCTTCTATTGTTCTTGACAATAGATTCATGTAAAAGTGAGTAATATGTTTATATATACATTACCACTCACTATTTTGGGCTTTCTTTTATAGTGCTGATTAGCTGATCTCTTGTTTTTGGATTGGATTTTGTTAAAAATGGGCTCAATGGAGAATGGCATTTATTCTCGAAAACTAGATTAAACTTTGCAAGTGAAAGAACGACAAATTTATATTTGTCACCTTCACAACTGGCGATCACGTGCCTTTCAATCCGAAGTAAAGAGGAAATACCACAGGTAAACTTGGTGAAAACTTGCTTTTGCCATCCAATCGAAAAGTCTTTTCAGATCGTTTTAAAATGAAAAAGAAAACAAGAAGCGTTACAAGATGGCCGGTTGGATATGGCTAATGGGTTATGTTGGTAGTCTATTAGTTAAGTAAATAAAGCGGAAAAGAGAACTGAACTCCAAGACAACATGATTAAAAGCATAATCATTGCTTAATCAATGAGGTATAACTAAAGACAGATCATGCGTCCCTTTGTCGGGAGCTTTTGTTTACATTTTGTATTAAATTAGTTCTTTCACGTGGTTCGTCCTTTAATATATGAGAATGATGAGGTCGGTTTATCAGCTCCAAATGAGGAAGAAATGCTAAAGAACTATTATCCAACTAATTCAAAATTTCAAACCATCCAAAAATCTAAGCAAATCACTTCGAAACACCTAACTAATATTTTGGCATGTCAAGGATTTACATTTCAATTGCATTTCGAAAAAAAAAAAAGTAACGAAAAAAAAAATCATTATGCTATTATTAAAATTGATATTCAATTTAATCAACTCAATCAAAATCGATTTAATAAATCATATATACAATAAAATAATTCAAAACCTTAATCCAATAACTACAAACCCTGTAAGAACTTATCCAAAACATAACATCACACAAACTTTCAAAGAATTAGTAGCTATGCTTCAAAAATATCTCCAAGCCTAAAAGCTGTCGGCCTATGAGAAGAAATTGCTAATAATAAAAATCAAACATAAATTTAAAAAATGAAGTATTTGATACTTATCAGTTCAACTAATGTCATTGATTCATCTTTTAATATCTTAATTTCAATGTATTAATTAACGTTATTACGTGACTCATTTGTCTTGTAATACTGCTGCCCTATCAAAACATTGTCCTCTAATAATCATATATAGTCCAAGAATTCCAAGTAACATGCCTTCTTCGTAGATTGCTATCATAAGCCAACGCCAAAAAGGAAGTAATTTGGTTAAACACCTAAGCCTAACACACTTAACATTATTGTCCCTTAATAACCAATCATGTTTGTCGGTCCTAACGGTCTCCTAATTGTGGTACCTATGTACGCTTTAATCTCATTTCATTTTTGTCTTAAGTTGTTAATTATCCTATTTGTTTAACTTTCTCCTTTTTTTTTTTTTAATTCTTAAATGTGCCATCAACATTTGGTTAACTTTCGATCTGGTCTGCCATTATGGCTTGTTTGATGTTTCTCATGGTGATGTTTTATCATGAGAAAAAGTAGATGCTTTAACTTTGAATTTTTTTTTTTTTTGGTTAAATTTATTTCTTAAACGTGCCATCAACATTAGATGATGTTTTAACCTACTTTTGTAATTTTTGTTTGGCCTCGGATTCTTGTTTTGTCAATGTTATTACCAACAAATAGTACTTTGCAACAGGCTTTGCCTTGTCATCTTTTTAACCCCTTTTACTTTCACCACCGACAATTACATCTCCACAATAACAAACCTCTTTTACTTACCTCACAATGGCACACTTGCTTTCGCAATTGAAATAGCTTAAGCGCTTTCTTTTCAATCAGGTATATAATATAATAGAAAGGTTTAAGGATAAATTAAAAATTAAAAAAAAAAGTTTGGATGATTGTTAATTTTATAAGCTAAAAATAAGTAATGAAAAGAAAATTTAAGTTATTTAAGTAAAATTCATAAAATTTTTTATTTAAGATGATTAAATAAAAATTAAAATAAAAAAATTGTAAATTGATAGATTAAAAAATTTTATTTATTATTAAGTTTCACATTAAATGATATTTTTTATTAAATTTTTAATATTATATAGTAATTAACATTTTTTAAATTTTAGTCCATGCTCATTATAAGTCACAACCTGAAAATCATAAGGAAAACATAACATCATGGATATGCTAACTACAAAAAATTTCTTCTTGCTTCTTTGTCCAACAAATGCTACAGCATATGTACTTATTTACTTGGGTGGAGAACCAAACCAATAAGATTGAATTTATTTACAAGATTCGATTAAAATTACATGTGAGCTAAACCCAAGTCATTTCTGTTAGAGAGTATACCCTTCAAAAAATAAAAGTGGAAGCAACTCTATTGGGTGTTAGTATAAATATCAAAGCAGTACATATGTGAATTGTGTTCGCAAAACTGAGAAATGATTATTGGCACCGAAGTAAGAATAGTGTTAGCCGATTGTCAACCGTAACCATTGGTAACAAACACACCATGAAAGGTAAGGCCTGGGATTGTGCTCTGTAAACAAACAAAAATGGTCTGCCTTCAAGAACTAGAGTCAGCAGGGAAGCCATTAAGACCTGGTAAATGCCAACTCCAGGACCAGGTTTGAATGGCCCTACCATGAGGCAGATCCAAAATGGCAGACAAACGATTCAATCATTCAAAGTAGCCAACATACGATAATGGTGAAGCTCCCCACCATTTTTTCCCCGAATGAACTGCAACCACCAGCTCTGGATTCCTACTCCTATTTAAGAGAACAAAAGGAAGAGGCTGGTTTACAAGGCCCCACAGGCCACAGGCACCTCCATTATACATATAATAATATCTCCATTGCTGTCTCATAACACATGACTTGTATCATTTTTTCTGGGCGGGCAGACAAATTTCTCGAATAACTAATCACCCAATCATAAAATTAACCAGGGTGTTCAGATAAGCTAACCTTGGCCACTCGCGCATTCCAAGAAGGATTTCATTGCAACCATAAAACAGCAGCCACTTGTAGTGACCAAATTGGGTTGCAGATCACATTTGAAATCTTAGATGGGCCCATAGAAAACGTCAGATTCTCAACCATCTATCCGAGCTGTGCGTGCCTATCAAGCACTCAGCCCTGAACATGCCATGGCAGTTGATGCTGTCAATCTCAAGATCACTTGTCAGCCTGTTCGATTTCAACATAGTATCTGCTGCGGAAAGTCAACCACTGTAGGAACCAAATATATAAATTGTCCCATTTCTAATTCTCTGATGCCTTTACTAGGCCACTAGTATTTCACACAGTTACTGGTAAACCATAATTGAGGAATGATCTAATTCTTCCATCCAACCCTCCAGTCACTATAACAAGACCCCATGCGTGAGAATTAAATGTACTCTGGCATGAAGTTTTCAGAAACTTGTACTGGGATTTATGCATTGAAGATGACCCAGACAATGGACTGGATGGAGGAAGTGCTTCCTCTGGCCAAGTTGCAGATCCCTTGGGAAAAGACTCCAAAAAGTATTCATGGCTAAGAGAGAAATAAGGCGAGGAAAATTGCAGGTTATCGAGTAAATTCTCATTCAATACTTCAAACTGCCTTCCATTTTCTGTGTTCCCATATTTCAGGCCACACCAAGGGATTGCGATCGATGCATTAGCAGAGAAGCGCTCACAAGATCTTATCTCTTTAGCCTTAGAGAGAGTAGACTCATCCTGATCAACATAATTCCATATATATACATTAGAGTCCTCACAAGCTGAAACAATATGCTTCCCATCAGCCGTTAATGATGTGAATGTCTGGTTTCCATTGTTACCTAATCCTGAGGAGTGAGAAATAGACAGCTTAAATTAGGAGAAGACAAAGAGCAAGGACACAAATATTGTATTTCAGATTCAGAGTTTAATAAATGTAACAAACAGAAATGCCCAATCGCCCAGATAATGCAGTTGGAGCAAACCATTATTATATGATTAAAAGTTTAGAGAACAGGAATATACCCCTGTATTTGCAGATCACATTCGGTCCTTGAAGAATTCTGACTTGTGAATCAGCGCAAGTAACCATTACTTTACTTGAATCTTGTGGCAAAAACTGGAATGAATGATATAAAATGAGCGACAACCACACATCTCAGCTATTAAGACAAGCCTATCTGACCAAAACCAGGGATGAGAATAACTACCTGCAAGCCAGTTATCCTTCTGCATGGTGACTTCTTTTTGCCATTTAAGCATATATGAGCATCCAGTAGCAAATGATTGTCTGAATAAAACAACATAAAATTTGGTTTGTTTAAGAATCCATGCAACTGTAATTGCTGCTTCATGAAAGAAACTATTCCTAAAACTTATGCCAACCATATATTTTCAATGAAAGTCCCAACTGTTACTATTATTAGATATGTTATTCATTTTCTTTCCAATGCATAGTACAAAACTGCTTCTAGATCACTTCAACAGAAACATTTTATTCCTAAAGCCGGGTAAGCACTAAGCTAAGTACAAGGATTCTGTTTGACAGATATATTATTCACATCAGCTCCTTCAGATGCTAGATAATTTTGCTAATGGATCACCACTTGCATCACTAGCAGTAAAGAACATTTTCTCTCAGTCCAGTTAACATGCGAGCTTTTTCAATCTGAGAATTTTACAAGCTTGCCCACTCGATAATTTTATTTGTCTTCTGTATGTTTAAAAATCTTTTCTATGAAAAGTTTTAATAGACAGACCAAAAGTACTCCTCTTAATAAAAGTAACCTTCAGTATGCCTATCACTTTTGTATATCATTCATAAAACTGATGAATACAAATCAACCAATCACATGAATAAATATGAATCCCTGTCAGAGGGAGCATACCTGACATATTGTAAAAGAGACAACTGCCTGTCATTGAGCCAACAATTCCTCCCTGCATAAATAGAAAAGAAAAAAAAAAAAGAGGATTTTTTACATCAAGAGTTCAAACAACTAAACCATGTAATTGTAATCCACTAGAAGAAGGAGCAAGAAGATCACCAAACCTGTCCGTCTGGGCGATAACACACTGCAGTAACTATATCTCTTACGTCAATCCAGTCAACAACTTGGCAGCCAGAAATTGCCCAAATGCGCACCTTTCCATCTATTGAACCGCTAATGAAGTAATTGTCATCCACAGGGTTAAACTGAACACAGGTTACTGCATCATATTATGAGACGTAATCCTTTATCAGGAGTTAGGAAAAAATAATGCCACCAAAATACAACAGAATTTAACCATACTTCAATTAGATAATTACATGTTAAAAATGCACGCAAACAGATAGACAGAGAATCAGCTAGAACCGCACCAAAATTGCTATGAGAAAACACTCTGAGGCAATGGTCACATCCAACTCGCCACATACGAACAGTTTTATCAACTGAGGAAGACAGCAGAAACTGCAACGTGAACACAGAAATCAGACACATTAAATAAGAATCTTTGATGAAAATTTTTCTTTTTCCTTTTTCTCTTATTTGTGGTGATTATGAAAAACATGTCCATAAATCTGTTGACTCACATTTTTCTCTGACCATGAGAGATCCAAGATCTCACCACTGTGCCCATGGAACTCATGTAATGGTTTCTCCAATAGCCGGAAAACTTTGGGAGGGAAGATAACACATGCTGAATCAGAAGTTTTTCTCAGGCTTCTTAAATTGCCTGCTTTTTCCTTATCTACAATAAGGGGTTTCAATTCAGAAAGATGATTCACTGTGAAGTATAAACAGGAAGGATCTATTTCTGGAATGTCAAGGTCATTGCACCTCTGATCTTCCACCACTTGCCACACCCTCACAACACCATCTTCACCAGCACTTGCTAGGTACTGCCCATCAGGACTGAACTTCATTGCCAAAATTGAACCTTCATGGGCCTGGATAACTTGTCCCTTATAGAGTGCAGAAAGTTCCTTCGTTCTTTTCCGGCTTTGGTGGACTTTAACTCTGTGAACCTTAGTCCCCAAAATTGAATCATCTATATTGGCTCTCAGTCTATCATCTTCAACCTGTTTATCCATAACGCATGCTATTGAACGCAATTTACTCAACCAACGGTTCTTAACCCTCTTTGCTTTTCCCTCAGATTTATTCTGCTTCTCAACTTCCCTTTCCTCAAGTTGTTGAAATGAGGGCGACGATACACAAGGGTTCTCAGACTTCTTAACTGTTACCAACTGCTCCGCACTCATTTCACAACCTTCACTTGCCTTCCCATCCTGCCCCCCTTCATCAACATCACAAACTGCTCCCTCAACTTCATTTCCTTCTCTGCAGAAAAAATTATCTTGCGAACTTGACTCCTTGGACAAATCAAAATTATCATTAGACCAACAGGAAATGGAAGAACGACTAGAATAAAACGGCTCTTCAAAGCCGGATGTTCTCAAAACAGCATCACTGGTTTCCTTAACCCTGTCAAATTCTCCTTCCAAACTACGTTCATCTACTGAATTCTCATGTGAAACTCGATCTAAGCTCACTCCCATCCAATCCAAGAATTTACTACGGCGTTCCTTGACACTTCGTGGGCTTCGAATCCATACATCATATTGGAAACTACTTTCAGAACAATTATCAAAGCCAGATTTTGAATGAGGTATCTCTATGTAATTAGAACTTGAACCTGGCATTGTTGCAATCTGCTCAAGAGCATCAGAAAATGAACATTCTTCGTCTTCTCTTAAGCTACCCATTATTCTTTGAGTTCAGCCCATTAAACCCTCCTCAGACCGAAAAAAAACCCCAACTTTTTAAGCCCTACGCAATGTGGCAGATTCTAAATCCCCAGAAAATAAAGGCTGAAAAGAAAATGAAAAAAACAACACAAAACACAAGATCAGTTTAACAGAAACAAAGAATAACTAAATAAAACAAAACAATTGATAACAATACCAAAAAAATAAAACCTAAGAAATCCAATAAGGATCGCAATCCAAGCCCATTGAACCTGGTCCTTTCCATTGAATCAGAAAAAAAAAAATCCAACCTTTAATATAGAAATGATAACTTTTTTAGCAACAAAAAAGAACCCAAAATTTTGCAGCAAATTAAGAGGCCAAGACAGTTTTCACCATACAGAGATCAAAAGCCATTGGCAGAAATTAAAAGATCTTATACTCGGATTTGAAGAAAAGGGGGAGAAAACAAGATTAAGAAAATATCATTAGAAACTGATCAATTAAGCAAAAGGAAGATCTCGGTTTACGGATGAATATAAAATTGGCTTACATGGGGATTGGGCTCGTTTTCTATGAGATTTCTTTGAAACTGAAGGGGACATAGATGGAAGCATCCAGTAAAAACGTTTTTGGGAGCTTCTAAAACTCTCGTCTTGGGGAAGCAAAGAGAACACTTGACAGAAAACTGGACATACAAAATATAAAAAGAAAATAAAACCAAATCTACTATTGAAAAATAATAGAATAAAAGAGTAAAAAAATTATAGTACGAAAAATGGTGGTTGGAGTAAAACAAGACAGAGAATAATTTCCTTTAAATTCGTGGACGGGTGGACCGAGAAACGAGATTTCCAGAGTAGGGGTGTGTTTGTGACTTTGTCTTCGTGAATTATTATTGGTTTATGAATAAATTACATATTTCTCATTTAATTATAATTGTATTTTTTAAAATAATTATTAAATTATATTTTTCTATCACTTAATTTTTTAATTTTTAATTTAGTGTTATCATGATAGTATCATGTTAATTATTGATATTATGATGTTATTCAGACACTAAATATTTTTATATATTTATTTTAATTATAGCTTGTAATTTATAATTATTAAATTATTATAAAATAAATTTTAATACTTAATTTAATGATTAATATATATTTTTTAAAAAATAAATTCCTATATCTATTCTCCACCGTAAAAGGAAAATGCTATAAATAAAACAAAATTTAAAGATTCTTTAATTAATGGAACTTTCTTTCTCATGCATGATGCTTTAATTCTAACTTTATGAACAAAACGTTTGTCCACAAATTTGTTTTTTTTTTCCAATTAAATTAATTTTAAATGATAAATTTATATTATAATCCTTGCTAAACCAAGAGCATGCACTCATTTTCATTATAAAAAAATGCATAATCATATAAATAAGTCGTTAGTTTAATTGATTAGATTTATTTTTTTCGATAAAAAAATATTAAGTTTGAGTCATATTGTTAAAATTATCTCAAATATATGATTTACAGTCATCTATTTTAAGTTATTAGATACAACACATCTTATCATGACTTAAATGATTGATCAATGTATCTACTCTAAATTTTTTGGATAAAAAAATGCATAATTATAAAATCAATAGGTCATGCTAAAAAAATTAAAATCGAATCTTTTAATTAATTTAATCAAATTTCAAATTAATGAAAGTAAATTTTTTAAAAAAAAATCTTAAATTAAAATTTTCACACAGCAAATAATTTTTTCAAATGATTTTCCCTTAATTGTGTATAAAATTAATCAAGAACATGGAAAAGCATTTAAAATGGTCAAAAGAAAATGAGATCATCAATTTAGATACAAAGGGAAGTCTAACCTTTTCTACATTTGCGAGTGGAATAGACCGACCATTCAGCATTTCGACATTTCATTTTCTTCCAAAAAGAAAAATCAACGTTTCAACTGTCTAGTACGCGTCAAAAGGTCAAATATTTGACCGCCGTTCTGATTGAGACTTTCGTATGACCTGGTCATTAAGTCTTAATGTTCATATTATGTTGCTCATTTAATGTTAATTAAGTAAGATTTGATTGACATAACTACATTTAAAAAAATTAATCAACAGAGATTGAGTTCATTGAAGGATCTAATCATATACTATTACCTTAATCTAATTCTCCTTGACGGTGTTAGTTACTTGTTGATTAACATATCATAATGTCAATATTAATAAAATAATTCAAACAAAAAATTAAATAAGGATGATACTAGTAAAAAATCGATTATAATATTCAATCTAATCTATTATTGATATTATCCTAGCATGAAATTTGAAATAAAATATTTTTATTTATTTTCATAAAATAAAAATTAAAAAAATAATTAAAATTCTCAATAAAATATCTTTAGTTTAAATGAAATATTTTATTTTCATTTCTAAGTGATTAAAATTGCTTTTAAAAAATATAGTAGATGGTAAAATTGTATTTTAAAAAAGTAAAGTCATTAATATGAAATCACAATGTGATAATAAATTTGACATTTATTTAAAAATAAAACAAAGATAATTATGAAAATTAAAAAAAAATCGAAATAGATAAATTATTTAATTTTTTTTAGGTAAATGTAAGATTTTTCGTATTTAAAAGTTTAAAATAAATTATTATAAATCATATTTTTGATATGATCTTAATAAACAATCATCAATTAAATTCAACTCTAAAATTCTTTTATCAAAAATAATAAATTTTAATTAATTAAGTCAATTTTGATAACGATGAAAGTAGTTCAACTTTCAAAAAGGGCATTAAAATAAAGCTGAAAAAGGGCTAATCCGGTTGTGGGGGCGGTCAATAGTCAGATAGGAGCCTCTGCCTGGTTGGCCGACCGCTAAAGTTTCATCCATTCCATTTTTGTTTGTTTTCAGTTTCTCTCAATTTTAACGGTCTTCAAATTAGATGACAATCTCACCCTTTGTCACCCCACTTTTCCCAGATCAAAAATCACCCCCTTAAGCAAATCAGCAGGTGATAGACTTGGGCATCTTTGTCTAGACAAACAGTATAACCCAACACATTTTCTTGTATTTCCCACTCAACATATGATTCACTGACAAACCAAAGTTGTCTGATTGGGTTCTTATGCCTTTACCCATCAATGTGCAAGTTAAACCCTTCAATCATTCCATAATGTGCAACTTCAGATTGGACCCCATCTCAAAATTATGAGCTCTATTCCTAATAATTGAATTGCGATCCACAAAAAATATATATTTTCCAAGTAAAATAATATGATTCAATTGATAATTGACAGTATGACTTCTGATTATTGTGTGCTGTTGGCACAGCATAATTGGACTATTCCCTTCAATAATAATATTAGGTTAGAAGGTAATTCACTCAATCAGATTATTGAAGAATTTAGCATAATATATAGGTCAACTTTAGCAGGGATTTTTATGTCAATCAAAGCCCAAAAAAAAAAAACCCAAAAAAGAGTTAGAAAAGCAAAAGTTACCCATGTTTCAAAGAGACCAAACATTTCACTTAAGTTGGTTTGATTAGTGTTGAATCATATCAGCATTTAAATTTGGAAGTGGTTTGGTTATTTGTCCTAAAGCGTGAGAGATACTTGTTGAAGGGTTTGCCACTTTCATTATTGGTAATTATTATGCGGACAAACAAAGTAAGAAATTAAGGAAGTTGGTAATGAAAGATACCCCATTACTAAGACAAAAAGGCAATGGTTCAGTTAATTCTACATCTATCTCTCCCCTAAAAGACTCAATAAAAGCAAAGTGAAAAAAATAATAATAATAAAGTTTGGCAATCAAAGACACCCTAATTCCAAGACAAAAAAACACTAGGGGTCGTTATAATTGTTTGGTGAGAAAAAATTTTATTGCATCATAATTACGTTTAATTAATTATAAATTTTTTTATCACGTATTTAAATTAAATTTAATTATATAAAAGTTCAAGTATTACATATATAAGAAATAGTTATAAATCTCATATCGAACATAAAAAGAAAGTCATTGAAGCATAAAAGGATTCATACCACCTATTTCTTGTGAGATATCTTTTGTAAGATAAAATTATAAGATCAGAGATTCAGAGCAGACAATATTTCATAAAGGTGTAAACCGTGATAATCATGTTGATCTAAGACGTCGGATAAGTGAATATTCGAGTCTTGGAGCTACACAGGTTTGGAGCTTAATTCTCGGTCCGTGACAAGTGATATCGAAATCAGCCTTAAACCGTTCGATCCACGTTAAGTGTCTCGAGAGAGGTAGGCAGGGTGGCCAGCCTCCATGACGATGACGTCACTAAGTTGAGTGGGGAAGAATGTTACAGACCTAAGAAAGAATCTTGAATCTCATATCAAACATAAAAAGAAGGTCATTAGAATATAAAAGAGTTCACTTCCTCGTTAAATCTTTTTTGTAGGATAAAATCATAAAATTAAGAGATCAAAACGGATAATATCTTATAAGAGTCTAAATCATGACGATCAAATTGATCTGAAATATCGGATGAGTGAATGTTCAAATCTTGTAATCACACAAATTCAGAGTTTAAGTCTTAGTCGTGACACAGGTTCTTCCCAATCTGCCCTTTCTTGTCAAAACCTTTTGTTTCGAACCTTTAGTATCACACTCGCACCGGTAAAAAGAACACCTTCTGTTTCACAATATTTGTAGCCAAAGTCTTTGGGTTGGGAACTTCGGATCGTTGCTTTCGTGCACGTGATGGCTTGTCGCATGTGATGCTACAACTTGGGTTAACCAGAAAACTGGGCAAACGTTGGTGCATCATCTCCACCACCACATTTGCATATATACATGACTTGAATAAATATGAATATGTATATGTATTATATATTTATTTTTTATACAAATAAGTTATAGTCTGAAAAATTTTTTTTTAAAAAAGTTATAGGTATTGGGTTATTTTATACATTTTGATCTTGAAAATTCCAGTGGCAATCAAGATACTTAATGTTTATCTAGTTTGAATGGTTATTAGTATTTAGTAGTATATAGTAATATAATTAATTTTTTAAAAAATCTTTAAAGCACTGGTTAGCAAAATTCTAATTAAAATATTATTTTTTTAAAATATACATTTAATACATTATTTTCACTAAATTAAAGAAGAGACAATGCGTTAATTATAATATTAAGTATTTTAAGTATCATCTTAATGAGTCCTAGGCACTACCGCACTAATTAACATTTTTGTAACTCTAATTCTTTTTTTTAATAACCCTAATTCTAATTCTAAAAAATACATAACATTACTTGAAGGAGAAATAATTATAATATTAATTATGGATATATAATAGTAAATGGGGAGCTGATTTTTCTTAAGCAATAAATCATTGTCTAGAAAAGCCCCCACGCTTACCCAAGGTACTTGTAGCCTTGCTAATGTCCAGATAGTTCCTGGTTTGGCACCGTGGTTTCTTTGTTTTGTTCTTGATCCACTTAAAAACAACTAGGCATGTCCAGAATCTACCTCAAATTCACACTTTACGAAATATTAG